CCTGGCGAGGGATCTTTTGTAATTGATTGTAGTATTAATTTTCCTTTCATAGATTGTATTCAGCTTCCTTTCTCAGGTGCTTTGTAATTGTTCTCAGCAATCCTTTTGCTTTGCAGCCTCAGATCTTCAGCTCAAGAGAAGCCCCAAGCTTTCAGCTTCTTTTTCAGCTTCTTCCTCAGCTTCCATGGCTTCCTAAGTAAAGGAAGATTCCATGAGCAGTTTTTTCCAGTGGAAAAAACTTTTCACAATTGAGAACCCAAAAACAAATCTATTATTGAGGATCAGGTGCCTGGTCTACTACCTTGAAAATTTGTTTAGGAGCAATGTTTTATAAAGGGTTTAATTAGGAGTTAGTGGTTTTGGTCAGCTGTCAATTTTGAAGAAACCTAGAGAACGCTATATCAGCTAATGCATCATAATCATTGGCCTCAGGGGCTAAGGAAAGGACGGTTCCATGAACATGTTTTCCGGTGGAAAAACTTTTCACAATTGAGAACCCAAAAACAAATCTATTATTGAGGATCAGGTGCCTTCCTGGTTTGATACCTTGAAAATTTGTTTAGGAGCAATGTTTTATAAAGGTTTTAATTAGGAATTGGTGGTTTTGGTCAGCTGTCAGTTTTGAAGAAACCTAGAGAAAGCTATATCAGCTAATGAATCATAATCATTGGCCTCAGGAGCTAAGGAAAGGAAGATTCCATGAGCATTTTTTCCAGTGGAAAAATCTTTTCACAATTGAGAACCCAAAAACAAATCTATTATTGAGGATCAGGTGCCTTCCTGGTCTACTACCTTGAAAATTTGTTTAGGAGCAATGTTTTATAAAGGGTTTAATTAGGAATTGGTGGTTTTGGTCAGCAGTCAGTTTTGAAGAAACCTAGAAAAAGCTATATCAGCTAATGACATAATCATTAGCCTCAGAAGGAATTCAAACCCTTAATAGGTTTCCAATTTAAAAATTTAGGGTCACCCAAAAATTTAGCGTTATTCAGGACCACTTTTTCAAACAGGGGGGTCTAAATAAATTTGAAAAAATTTCGCATTATAGAGGACCCCTTTACTAATCGAGATCCAACATTACAAGTCTTCAAATCAGTCAAGAGGGTGATGGTTCCATAACAGTTGGTCAGAGTGTATATGTCAAACACATTCAACCCAATCGAATAGAAAAGGAACGAAGAAAATACCCTGTGACGAGCCCATCGCAGAAGGGTCTGATAGGGAGCCTCCAATGTGCCGCTGTGAACACACGCCCCGACCTAGGAAGTCGTTTGAGCCATTGCACAGCCACATTTATAATGGACAAGTCAAAGACTTGTTTGAAGGAAACAACATTTTGCATGATGCCAAAGTCCATGCTTACATTACCAACATATTCCAACAAAAGATATCAGGCTTGTCGCCTTTTCAAACGCATCGTTTGCTTCGGAAAAATGTCAAGCATCACATCAAGGACTGATGATCGTGACCGTACATCAAAACATCGGACAGAGCCACAAAAGCAAAAAGCATCCAATCCTGTGGTCCTCGAAGAAAACTCAGAAACTGGCTGTCAGCACTCTTTCGGCAGAGGCAATGGCATTGGCAGGAGCAGTAGATTTGCTGGCTTGGTGCCGACTATTTTGGGGATGGCTTCTAGACCGGACACGTCAAATGGCGCCTGGGAGATCAAACTCTCTCTCAGCTTCCCCCAGCACTTCGGCGTTGAAAGACGAACGAGACTTAACAGATCCAAACAAGTCAGTCAGTGAGAATCTACTCAAACTGTACTCCAAAGGATAGGTCATGGATTCAATCTATGATCTAATAAGTCGAGCTGCTGCACCGTCAACCTTGCTGCAAGCAAAGCTCATCAGAAAACATCTAACCACAGGGGTACGCATTCGTTGGGTTCCATCAAACGCTCAAGTAGCAGACTGTCTCACCAAGATTGATCCTTCGTCGCTTCGTGAAATCCTACAAGTATAAGATATCAACTTAAGGACGAAGAAGAATCCTGAAGAATCGCTCAGGTGAAAGGTCCAGACTCCGCTGGATCAGAAGCCATGGCGTCGATGAGAACGAGCGGAACAAGCTTGGAAGTTGAAAGACGCTAAGGAAAAGCCAGGTCGTCCTTAGACATTTTCGATGATGAAAGCTCTCGCCCTCCAAGAGAACAATGTTCTTGGCTACTGGCAGGTTTCTTTTTGTGAAGCTTGTGAAATGTTCAATGTCCGCATTGATAGGGACACAACCTTCAAGTGGGAAAGACAATCTTGCGCCAGAGCCATGTGAACATGTTCGATCAAAATTTAGTTTTGGGAATGCGAAAAGCAAATCGCGCACACATGTTCACTTTGTTGCTTGACGGTCGATTCCGCCTGTTCGGAAGTCTCCCTGCCAATTTCGGGTCATAGATTCGAAAATGCATTTGGATATGTGCAGATGTGAAGATTAGCAGATGCGCGCGTCTGGGTGTCGGCAGGTGTGAATAAATGACAGTTGTGATGACATGTAATGCTGTAATGCTCATGTCTTGCTTTTGTTTTTAAGGAGAGCCCTTCGCCCACGGGCTCTCGGGAGAGGGATTCTGACAATCGTGCGATTTACTACGCCTGAGTTTTTGTTTCTATCATTTCTATCTAGAGCTTTCTTTAATGACAGTCTGCCGTTTACCGCTCAGGCTGTTGTTTCTGCATTTTGTAGCTTGCTGCGCGTGATTTTGTAGCAGCCTATGTCAAAGGCCCTGCGGATGCATACATTTGGTTTTGGCAAGTGACTGATTGTCGAGCGGTCTTGCCTTTTGTAGCGAGCAAGCTGAAGAGGTTCATCAGATTGTCGCAGCCGAACTCTCTATTTAGAGGCCGAATCTCTTTCGTTGTCGCAATTGGCGCGCGCGCCCCACCTCTGACATTTACACGGGCATGTTTACGAAACCAAAACTGCTACCTGCGCTTTCAAGCTTGGACCTTCAGGCTGGCTACCGTCGGAAAAGATTGCTATTGCGCCGGGGTTGTCTGGGGATTGCGGCGTGTGCGGTTTTTTCACCAAACAGCCTGACGCTTAGATCGCTGAAGCGCGCGGCCGTCGGCCGTGAACGGCTAATTCGCTGCTATTTACAATGATTTCGAGAGGCATGCATTTCGACTGCGCAGGCTCGCGAAATCTGGGTCGGCGGGTGCTTCCAACGACTGCGCTCTCGTTGTGGTGCCGCGCCCATTTTTGCACACGTTGGCGGGCGCAAGGGAAACCTCGTGTTTTGGTGCTCCAAAGTCGCCTTTTCGTGACAGGATCGGCGCTGTTCTACTTCGAAATGCAGTTTTCGTGGCAGGCACGGCACTTTGGACACGGTGGTGATCGTGACAGGCGCAGTGAATCGTGACTTTTGGACATGTGGCTCGTTTGCAGATTTCGTGCTCTGTGACCCTCGATGTGCAGATTCGTGGCACTTTGTGAACCTCGAAGCGCAGATTTCGTGGCAGCCACAGCGCCTTGTGAACCTCGAAGTGCCGATTTCGTGGCAGCCACAGCGCTTGGTGAACCTCGAAGTGCAGATTTCGTGGCAGGCGCAGCACTTTGTGAACTTCGAAGCGCAGATTTCGTGGCAGCCACAGCACCTTGTGAACCTCGAAGTGCAGATTTCGCGGCAGCCACAGCGCTTGGTGAACCTCGAAGTGCAGATTTCGCGGGAGGCACGGCACTTGGTGAACCACGAAGTGGAGATTTTGTGGCGCAGTATACTTTGTGAACCCCTTACAGATTTCGTCGCTCTCTCACTCTCACTCTCACCCTGCATGAGTGTGAGAGAGTGAGAGTGTGAGAGAGTGAGAGAGTGAGTGAGTGAGTGAGTGAGAGTGAGTGCGAGTGAGAGTGAGAGTGAGTGTGAGTGTGAGTGCGAGCGCGAGCCTGAATCTGAGCGCGAGTGAGAGTGAGCGTGGATGAGGTGTGAGTGAGAGTGAGTGTGGATGAGAGTGAGTGTGAGTAAGAGTGAGTGTGGCTGAGAGTGAGTGAGAGTGAGTGTGAGTGCGAGTGTGAGTGTGACTGTGAGTGTGAATGTGAGTGTGAGTGAAGAGTGAGTGTGAGAGTGACTCACTCACTCACTCACTCACTCATTCACTTTCAATATCACACTCACTCTCCCACTCTCACGCTCACTCACTTTCCCACTCTCGCATTCACTCTCACTCTCACCCACACTCACTCACCCACCTGCACTCTCACTCACACCCACTCTCACTCTCACTCACACTCTGACCCACCCACTCTTACTCACACTCACTCTCACCCACAGTCACTCTCACTCTCACTCACACTCACTCTCACCCACACTAACCCTCACTCACACTCACTCTCACACTCTCACTCTCACTCACACTAGCATTCACACTCACACTCGCTCACTCTCCCACTCTCACTCTCACTCACACTCCCTCACACTCTCACTCTCCCGCACACACACTCCCTCACACCTTTACTCTCACTCACACTCACTCTCACTCACATCACTCTCACTCGCGCTCACACACTCACTCACACTCACACTCACATTCACACTCACACTCACTCTCACTCTCCCTCTCGCTCTCGCTCTCGCTCTCTCGCTCACACTCACTCTCACTCTCACACTCACACTCACGCTCAATCACTCTCCCACTCTCATTCTCACTCACTCTCCCACTCTCACTCTCACTCTCCCTCTCACTGTCACTCTCACTCACACTCACTCACTCACCACCACCGTCGCCACGATCCCCACCTTCATCACCACCATCACCTCTCTGGACCCCAATGCGTTTAGATCTCTAGACTTTCTGCTTATACACACTGTTTGGGGTCTTTTGCCGGGATAATTTTTTTTGCGTTTGTTGCGGCGCAGTTTCAGTTCAAGGTGCTTGGCTCACGTGTTTCTACGGTCTACATAAGCTGTTGCGTGGCTGCTTCGTGGGCGAAAACGCAAAACGGTACAACGTTGGTGTTGTGAAACACAATGCGTTTTCTGCTGAAAGGGCTCAGCGCGCCAGGTGCTGCTTGAAACTGGTTGCAATATGACATCCTCATCGGAGAGGGATATTGTAAGGGAGATGAAGGACACCGCATCCCTGCAATGAATATTACAGCGCGACGTGGTGCATGTGCTGCTTGGAAGGAGGGGATGTGCTATGTTTGCACTGGCGACTTGAAGAAAGAGTTGCAGTCTGCGCAGGACCTCGGGGTGAAACACGGGTTTAGCATGCGTTTTTGCAAAATTAGGTGATGCCACGCCCGCACGGGGTGAGAAAGTGTGAACCATATTCTGGTACGCTTGTTGCGTCCGAGGCAGGTTCTGTCAAGGGCAAGGTGGAAGTATCACGGACGCGTCAATGCCAGTGATGTCGCTGAGCTAGTGGCCCGGAGTCTTTCAAGACTGATCGGCTGATCGGCTTGCCCGAACGCAAACGTCAAGCCAAGTGTTGCAGCCAATTCAATTCCCGGGCAATCAGATCATTCTCAGTAGAGTTTTTTGTCCTTGAACACGCTTCCGAGAATAGGACCTTTACCTATCGTTGCGGGCTCTTGTTCTTTTGCCGCCTGTAGACGTGCAGAAGACGGGCAACTAACTACAATCAACCTCACGCGCAAGCTCTCTGCACTGGGTTTGCGCAGTATACGCAGTATGGTGCAGGGGAAGTGGCAGTTGCTGCCAATGAGGAGTTCAGATTCATTGCGGAGTTGGATAATTTTTGACGAAGAAGAGGTGCCAAAATGATCTGGGGTTAGTGTGCCCACTTGTGGAAAATCGGCCAGGTGGTTTGTCAGTTTCGCCAGAGAAGATCGGACCCAACTTGAAACAGGGTGCGCACACTAATCCTAGCTCTAGTAAATACTCCAACTCTGTCTCGCCCCGTGGCCATTCTCAAGTGATTGGCAGGATTGGCAGGTTAGTTGAAAGTTGCCTGTGCCACTTGCAGTGCTTACAACGACTTAAAATGAGTTCTGTTAAAATGCAGTAGCGTTTGGAATGCCCATGCTGCAATTGACGCTTTAGCCCAAGGCCCTATTGACGCTGGAATCGCTGCGACCCCCAGCCCAAAAGAAAAACGTATTGGTCAGCCGAAGCGTTGCGCAATTTTATCATTGTCATTGCATCTAGTTTGTGTTTGCAAGGTTATGTTCACAATAAGACACCTTAAAATGTTCCGGAGCAAGAAGGAGCGCCTCCCTAGCACGAATCAGTGTGAAAAACAACTCGTCAACATTCGTCAACTCTACTGATGGGGCAGAATCCGGCCCTCCTCTGGCTCTTTTTTGATGTGGCTTGTCTTCGTGAATGACACTTGCTAGCTTTTTAGCCGGATAGCCAACGCCTCGAGGCAATCCTGGGCACCTAAGTTGCTAAAAAAAGCCTGTTCTGAACACGCGAGGCCCTAAAAACACGCAACGTATTTTCATGTATGTTCAAACACGCGGCCGTAAAGAAAAAGCATGGACCTTTGAGGTTCAGATTTCCAGTCATGACTACTGTGGATGCTTTTTCTGCAGGTGTGCAAACGCATCCCTTAGTTAAATGCCTTTTTGTACACCAAATGCCTTTTTGGCTCCCGGAAAAATGCATATGGAGAGCAATGCTCAAATGCATTTTTTGCTCCCCGCAAAAACGCATATAGGGGCAGAAGGAGCAGCATTTCGTAGCAGACCCAATTGCATGTAGCATGCTCACCAACAACCATCAACACGCATGGAAACGCACCCAAAAACTACGTCTGAAACGCAGACACCAGCGCAGTTTCAGCTGCTTGTTGCAATTAAACCTACACTTCGCAAAGCTGCAGTCGAAGGTTTACGGAAAACATAAGGGTGAAAGCGGCGTCGAGGTAACGAGGCAACCGCGGGTTGCGTGAAGAGCTCTTTCAAGAGGCCAAAGGTTGCAGCAATGCGCCAGTGGACACGGCTGTCGCCCGTTGAAAGCGTCCCATAGCCCCTGGTTGACCTCAATGTGGTTCAGGGCGGCCATTTCTACCGGGAATCTGAGGGCCGCATCAAAAAGCCCACGGGCTCAGGCGCAACCGCAGCCAGGAGCCTGCCCAGCTAAGTTGTAAAAAACACGCGTTTTCCATGGGTGTTGTGCGCTATTTGTGACGTAATGGCGCAATACCAATGTACCTCAATTCTCCGCAAACCTGTCAACAGTTGTACTTTTTTTCCAGCCTGCAGCGCTGCCGTGTCCCTACTGCAAACGTAAAGTATGTGACGCCTGACATAAAAGTATGTGACGCCTGACATAGCTTTTAAAAAGTTCCGCACGCTCACCCTGAAAGCCGGGCTTTAATTGTTTCACTCCGTTTCACTGCAGGTTCTCTTTTCACCTGTCACTCTTTCATCTTTAACTCTTTTTCTCTTACTAGCGATGAGGGGCTCGACCCAGCCGCGCTGCAAGAGGAAAAAGTCACATGACTGTGGGTGCTGATGGCTCCCTTGTCGAATGCATTAGTTGAAAGTGTCATTGGTCAAGCCGACATCACACAGTGTGCTGAGCAGGCAATGATGAAGCCCCGTTTGCAGGCAACTCGTATAGGCCCACCCTGTCATGACACCAACCCTCATCGACTGACAAGAAGCAACTAGCGTTTGGAAGTGCCCACAAAGTGCGGCCCAAAAAATGTCAAACTAGACGACGGGTGGCCCGAGAGCGAGACATGTGATTGTCCAGCACTGTCGAAAAGGTATATAGAAAGAGACAAAAGAAAGGGTGGACGTGAAGGAGTGACAGTGTGGATGTGCAGGTGCGATACAGATGTGTAGATGTATGGAGGTGGAGAGGGAGATCTGTGGATGCGAGCGTGCGAAGATGTAAATGGACAGAGGCGAGAGAAAAGGTTCTTAATAAGAAGCCAGTCTCACTTCAAACGGCTCAAAACAAGTCAGTCCCATTTCAAGAAAAAACGGAGTAAAACGTAAGCAGGTCGAAGCGCGCACAAAATGGACTTGTGTGCGCTTCATCCTGGTCCCAAAAACAAGCGGCGAGCCCTGCCAGCAGAGGCTCAAAGCAAGTCAGTCTCACTTCAAGTATCAGACAAACAGAAAGTACACCGTAAGTGCGCTTCAAGTCATCAGCTCCACTCTCGCGGGCAGGCCCTTCAAAGAATGGAGCAGCAGCGGTAATGACCTGCAATGATGTGTGGTCGCGAAGCTGGAGCCAAGCGTTGCATTGTTGCATCGAGTTTCACATCCAGTGACAGTACAGCGCAAGCCGGATGAAGCGCCCATACAGTACATTTATGTGCGCTTCATCCTGGGCCCAAAACATGATTTCCAAAATAATGATTTAGTAACGAATCTGGGTGCCTCTCTGTCAGATTCGCTGCAGTCTCCTCCTCGGCCTCAAGTACGGTGCCATCTTACTGTCAAGGTGAACAATATGAAAGGCAAAACCTTGGGAGCAACATACTCTGTAGGCATATCTGTTGCAGTCATCACTAACTCTCGCTGTTCCCCGTACTCCAGCTGTTCCACAGCTCGGTTCCCCTGCAGCTTCTTCAAGCTGATAGTCAGTTTATGACCACCTGGCACCAGGTTCGTAAGAAGTCAGTCTCACCCCAAGTATCAAAAAACAACGTAAAACGTAAGCAGGACGAAGCGCACACAAATTCTGGCCCCAAAACACATTACTTTTCATTGCAGAGAGACTAGTGGTTTTGCCTGATTCGCAGCAATGTCCTCCTCGGCCTCAAGTACGGTGCCAACTTCCTGTCAAGGTAAACACAATATGAACAGCAAAACCTCGGGAGCAACATACTCTGAAGGCACATCTGTTACAGTCATCACTACCTCTCGCTGTTCCCGGTACTCCAGCTGTTCCACAGCTCGGCTCCCCAGCAGCTTCTTCAAGCTGATAGTCAATTTATGACCACCTGGCACCAGGTTCGTAAGAAGTCAGCGTCACTTCAAGTATCCAACAAAAGAGCTTAAAACGTAAGCGGGACGAAGCGCACACAAAACGCATTTGTGTGCGCTTCATTCTCGCCACAACAAAAAGTACTTTTCATTGCAAAGACAAGTTTGGACTATATCCCGCGAGAAATTTATGCGCGCTTCATCCTGGTCCTAACGACAATGATTTCCATCGCAAAGAAGAAATTAGTTTTCACCATCTCCCGTGAGAAGCGGCTCCACACATCCAGCCGCATCTGTCTCCGCCTCAGCCCGCTCCAGATCGGTCAAACCAAGAAGCTCGGTACCTACATACCGTGAATGAAGCATATGACGTCAGATTTGTCAGTAAAATGTCATGAAGGTATGAAAGCAAAGTTCAGTACCAACCTACTGTCAAGGCATCCATACGTATATTTCCACAGAGACCGAAAACTCCAAATTTACCTTTTTGGTCAACGAGCACGCGCCGCCAATTTCATGTCTTCGTTTAACGAGGACTCAAGGGCATGCTAGTGGAGCATCGCTCTGGGTTCGTTATATACGACGTTCGCTCCTCGCTCGGACAATCCCTGCCGCCAGAAGCATTTGCAACACACTCAGCTAGGCCGAGTTTGCTACAAAACAACAGTCATGCTCCACAACAACACGCCTCGCGCCGTGCTTCAGCGCCTCGCTATGCATCAGATCCATCCGAGGACGTGACCGCTGCGCAAACGGATCTGGACAATTTTCACAAAGACATGCTAGTGGATCCTTGCTTTGGGTTCGTCATGTGTGCCGCTCCCTCCTCGCTCGGACAATCCCTTCCGCAAGAAGTATTTGCGACACACTCAACTATGTCGGGCTTCCGTCCGCTTGCAAACAGTTCTTACAGCGCTATAAAACGGCTGCCGTCTCACAGCTCGGTCATCAGCGAAGAACTCTAAGAGGTAACTACAGCAGCAACCTCATCAGCTGATAAGCGCTTGCGAACCCAAGGGATTCCCTGCCGGGAAAGCCGGTGCGCGTACTCAATGGCTGTCCGTTCATCCACCCGGGCCTGCTCTTCAAACTCCCGCATTTCTCTTCACCAGCACCGGAATGTGTTCGCGCAGGAAGGTCTCAAAAACACCTCGAGGTGGCAGATCAACTATCCACAGATCATCGAGCTTTGTTGGCCTGGACAACATCACATAAATAGCCAAGGCATAGTCGGCATTGCTCATCCACGAGGGCTTCGACAAGAAGGCAAGTAATCCTTGTCTCGCAGTGATGCCCTGTAACCCGTAGCGTGTGAGAACACAACGAGGTGCC